CAGAATATTTCATTGTTTGTAATATTTCACTTGAATAGCAAGAAATTTTAACACATGAGAGTACTCACAAGCTCAAAGGTGCATGTACAGCACCCAATATAAGCTGTAATACCACCATTGATTTCCCCCTATTAGTCTTTTTAAAATTTGCACTTTTCAAAAAATTGTGCAGAATTTATCTTTGTTTCAAATTAAAAAATACTTGGCATGAGTAAAGTTTTATCCTGTCCAGTACTATAGAAAAACATTCACATAAAATTTCATTGCATATAAGAAAATAACTATAACTGTCAGTTAACCAATCAAATTTCCCCCCTTATATAACCAGTGTACAAGCTTTAGTAACCATGTAACCTCGAGTTTCCAAAATATTCTATAGAAACCCCAAATAAAAAAAAATGATGCTTTGAAATACCCAAGATACATGTATATGTTTATGACCCAGAAATGTTTTACTGCAATAAAATGATGGATTAATTACCTACAACTGTCAAATTCGAGGGAATATTTTTTTCGACCTATTTTCGTATGCAACCGGATGTGACGTACCATGCATTGGTGGTATTACACCTATTCAATGGCTTCTAAAGAAAAAAATAATGTGGAGTTTCACGGGGTATAGCTATATAGGTCTTGTAGAGGAGAAACAGGCGCATGGTTTGCGCAAGGTTTCGAGTTGCGCTTTGTCCAAAAACTGAAACTAGGGCTCGGGATTTCAAAAAATATTGGGAAAAACAACAGGCATTTGCCTATTCCATGGCCTCTGGAAAAAATAATGAGGGATGTCGCGGGGTAAGACTATAAAGGTCTTGTAGATGGCACACAGGCGCATAGTTTGCGCAAAGCTTCAAGAGGTGCTATGTTTAATTATGTCGAAAGGAACTAAAATTTAGTGAGAAACAAAGCCAACTCAAATGTCAGAAGAGAACGTGAAAACCGTTATAAAGACGTAAAATGTGTTATGTAAGTACTGATAAAGAGAAGGCTGAACACTGGCTGAATTTTTTTCAAGGGTATTTCGAAAAAGAAAATGATGAAGATGAAAGAACGTTAGTGCGAAGGCCAGCTGGTATACAACCTAAAGTTCTATATACTATTACAGACTTAATAGACAGTCTACTTTGTATTATTTTCAAAAGTTTATTTATATCAGAGGTTTTGTACCAGAATAAAACAAAATCGGCAAAGAGTACTGAGTTGTTAAAAAAATATGATAGTAAAACTACATACAGACCAGTTAACTTTATCAATGACAATCCAAGCGCCACATTCTTAAAGACGGTATCAGTACCCTCGTCCACGTGCGGGCATTTTCTGATAAAAATAAATGTTTACTAGGCAAAAAAAGAAACGTTACCCTGGTTTTTAATTACAAAAAATACATACATGTATATTAATTTATAATATTTTCAAGATTAAAACTAGTGACCTGAATGATTTATCTATCATTTACTACTTTATTAAAAATACGAAGACGACGTTACGTCATTTTCTGATTTCAAACAAATAAGCATTTTTTTCAAACATTTACCTATATATAGATGGAATTGAGTTGTCCTTTTGATCATTAAGTGTGTCGAGCACTATTGTTAACAAAAGGTCGCATTAAAAAATTGAAAAAGTTACACGTAAGTCAATGCCACGTCTACGTCATAATGAGAGAGAACGAGCTATTGGTTGTGGCAGCAAAAATGACTCTAATACAGGTTGCAAATCATCCCAATGTCTCTAGAATGAATACTGAAAGACTTAAGACTCGTCTTAGAGATACTGGCACGACAAATAATCGTCCCCGAGGTTGCAGGCAACGTGAAACGAAGTTACGTCAAGACAGTCACATCCGCATTATTCATCTCCGGAATCGATTTGTAAACTTGTCACAAACAGCACGACAAACTCATGGAAAAAACAACAACAGGCTATATTCCCAAACAGTTTGTAACCGACTGCATCAAGTTGGCCTAAGAGCTCATCCTGTGTTGAAGGGACCTATCCTTACGCAGCGTCACAGGATGTCGAGACTTGAATGAACTCGGGTACGGATTCGACGGAATAGGCTTACATGGAGACAAGTCCTTTTTACCGACGAATAGAAATTCAACTTGACATTTAGCGACGGCAAAGCCAGGGTCTACCGGAGGTGTAATGCATGATTTTCTGATGCGTGCGTACAGGAAACGGATCGGTGTGAGGGTGGCGGAATTATGGTATTGGACGGAATAACCTACCAGGAACGCACCGATCTGACAATTATTGAAGGTAACCTAAATGCCAAAAGGTATATGAACGAAATTCTGACTCCACTCGTTCTCCCGTTTCTCAGAAGGCATCGTTTTAACCACATTTTTCAGCAGGACAACGCCCGTTGTCACGTGGCACACATTTCAATTATTTTTTGGAGAATAATCACATTCGTGTGTTGCCGTGGCCCGCAATGTCTCCAGATTATCGCCAATGGAACATCTTTGGGACTAACTTGGACGGCCCATCAGAAAGAGCCCATCTCTGAATAGCACTTTTCAGGAAATGGAACAACGCAAAGGGCCATTGATAAAGAGGGATGATCATGGGTAGTTTATTCAAATACTGGAACATGAACGACAACCATATCACCAGTCTGAAAGCTCCGATGGCCAGTACGGATGCTGTAATGAAATGGTGGGTCATTTTAAAAGTAAAAGACAGCACGTATGAAACCTAGTGCGACCAGATTTAAACGGATATAAAATGAATGAAGATAGAATATGATGCAGCAATCATAGAACATGAGAAAAAATAATGGACAAGCTGGACAAGTGTGACCACAAACTCAAACATGCAGAACCATTTGATTAGTTAACTTCACGAAAATAAAATGGCAGAGGACAAGGTGATGAATGTTTGGTATGCAAAGAAATAGGAAGAACAAGAAAGAGAAATTCAATAGATTGACGGAGTGAGATGTGTTTAAATAAACTAGAGTAGATATCGAAACCTTAAAAATTGAGGGTAATACGTTGCATCATAATCATACCTCTCGCAAATACCACACACATGACGTTTACTATGTGCCGCACTTAATGTAATGTCACGTCACTTTGACATGTTACTATGACTAGTACATCTATCACATAGTCAAGAAGTTTTTTATTTCTATCTTAAGAAGGAAAAATGGATACAAAGCTAAAAGCCATTCGTTCCGGACATAAACGAGCACTTACAAGATTTTGGAAGAATTTTGGAGACATAACTGCAGAGATAGTCTCGATATAAAAATTAAGGAAGTCACCGCTATTTTAGATTCCGTGTCACAGAAAAGTGATATTCAGAAAGGTCTTTTGATAAAATTGTAGAAGCTTGCTCGGATGAAGACGTGGTGGAAGAAATTCAGCAAACAGATCAGTATATGTTCGTTTAGATTAAAAAATCCGTCAAATTAAAAACTCATTCAATCCTCACAAACAACTAGTCATAATTTACCCGTCAATACTACTGTTTTTCAAGCTTGTCATGTTACTCCCTCTGATACACCCATACATATCATGATTTCACCTACAGGCAATAGTGTACCCGCAAGCGACTCCTCTCAATAGAACCCGCACGCCAATTGATTCACGTCGACACCTCTTGTACAATAAAATGCAGCATAGTTTTATACTAGTAACCCTGCTATATCAGAGAAAACCGTTAAACCCATTGGTTACTAGTAACCTTTACATTCTCATAACCTTTACAGTCTTGGAGAATCATCAAGAATATAGACCTTTTAGAGAGGTTAGTTTAAATATAGTTATTTTTGGTGGATTTGGAAACAAGTTATCGTAACTTATATTAATTATATCCCTCTCTACTTTGCCGGTGCTGCCTTGTAGCTGCATTAGCCTGGTCTTTTTCGGTCTTTCAATCTACAAGGTTGTCTTTTACGTGCAGTGATATGGATCTCTCTTAACGCGGGTAAGCCGTTTATCGTACCCTTCTGACAGACTATCATCGTTCCTGAAGACAATACTCGCAAATGGTGTCAAGGGAGAGCCGAAAATTTGGTCCCTGAAATTTTCTCCCAGGAACGGAGATCGAACCACGAACCTTTGTGTTTGAAAAGAGAGGTTGTGACTCCATGTCTAATTGTTTGATCCAAGAAATAAATAACTGAGATTACCTATCCATTTCTTAAAGAGATCATTGACATCACACCGATTTCTAGTTTCAAATATTTGAACATAGCGCCCTTCGATACCTTCCGCAAAAGATGCGCCTGTTTCTCCTCTACAAGACCTATATAGTCATACCCCGTGACACCCCTCATTATTTTTCTCTAGAAGCCATGGAATAGGCCAACCCCCCTGTTTTTAACATTTTTTTTTCAAATTTTGAGCTCTAGTTTCAGATTTTTGAACATAGCGCCCTTCGATACCTTGCGCAAAAGATGCGCCTGTTTCTCTTCTACAAGACCTATATAGTTATACCCCGTGACACCCCTCATTATTTTTTACTCTAGAAGCCATGGAATAGGCCAACCCCCTGTTTTTAACATTTTTTTTCAAATTTTGAGCCCTAGTTTCAGATTTTTGAACATAGCGCCCTTCGATACCTTGCGCAAAAGATGCGCCTGTTTCTCTTCTACAAGACTTATATAGTCATACCCCGTGACACCCCTCATTATTTTTCTCTAGAAGCCATGGAATAGGCCAACCCCCTTGTTTTTAACAATTTTTTTTCAAATTGTGAGCTCTAGTTTCAGATTTTTTAACAAAGCGCCCTTCAATACCTTGGGCCAAAGATGCGCCTGTTTCTCCTCTATAAGACTTATATAGTCATATCCCGTGACACCCCTCATTATTTTTCTCTAGAAGCCATGAAATAAGACAACCCCTCTGTTTTTAACATTTTTTTTTTTCAAATTTCGAGCTCTAGTTTCAGATTTTTAAACATAGCGCCCTTCGATACCTTGCGCAAAGGATGCGCCTGTTTCTCTTCTACAAGACCTTTATAGTCATACCCCGTGACATCCCTCATTATTTTTTACTCTAGAAGCCATGGAATAGGCCAACCCCTCTGTTTTTAACAATTTTTTTCTCAAATTTTGAGCTCTAGTTTCAGATTTTTGAACATAGCGCCCTTCGATACCTTGCGCAAAAAATGCGCCTGTTTCTCCTCTACAAGACCTATATAGTCATACCCCGTGACACCCCTCTTTATTTTTCTCTAGAAGCCATGGAATTGGCCAACCCCCTTCTTTTTAACAATTTTTTTAAAATTTTTAGCTCTTTTTTCAGATTTTTGAACATGGCGCCCTTCGATACCTTGCACAAAAGATGCGCCTGTTTCTCTTCTACAAGACCTGTATAGTCATACCCCGTGACACCCCTCATTATTTTTCTCTAAAAGCCATGGAATGGGCCAACCCCCCTGTTTTCAACAATTTTTTTTCAAATTTTGAGCTCTAGTTTCAGATTTTTTAACATAACGTCCTTCGAAACCTTGCGCAAAAGAAGCGCGTTTCTCTTCTACAAGACTTATATAGTCATACTCCATGACACCCCTCATTTTTTTTCTCTAGAAGCCATGGAATAGGCCTATCCCTCTGTTTTTAAATTATTTTTTTTAAATTTTGAGCTCTAGTTTCAGATTTCTGAACATAGCGCCCTTCGATACCTTGTGCAAAAGATGCGCCTGTTCCTCCTCTACAAGACCTATATAGTCATACTCCGTGACACCCCTCATTATTTTTTCTAGAAGCCATGGAATAGGCCAACCCCTCTGTTTTAACAATTTTATTTTTAATTTTGAGCTCTAGTTTCAGATTTTTGAACATAGCGCCCTTCTATACATTGCGCAAAAGATGCGCCTGTTTCTCCTCTTCAAGACATATATAGTCATACCCGGTGACACCCCTCATTATTTTTCTCATTTTGAGCTCTAGTTTCAGATTTTTGAACATAGCTCCTTCGATACCTTGCGCAAAGGATGCGCCTGTTTCTCCTCTACAAGACCTATATAGTCATACCCCGTGACACCCCTCATTATTTTTCTAGAAGCCATGGAATAGGGCAAACCTCCATGTTTTTACCAATTTATTTTTCAAATTTTGAGCTCTAGTTTCAGATTTTTGAACATAGCGCCCTTCGATACCTTGCGCAAAAGATGCGCCTGTTTCTCCTCTACAAGACCTATATAGTCATACCCCGTGACACCATTCATTATTTTTCTCTAGAAGCCATGGAATAGGCCAACCCCTCTGTTTTTAACAATTTTATTTCAAATTTAAGCTCTAGTTTCAGATTTTTGAACATAGCGCCCTTCGATACCTTGCGCAAAAGATGCGCCTTTTTCTCGTCCAGAAGACCTATATAGGCATACCCCGTGACACCCCTCATTATTTTTCTCTAAAAGCCATGGAATAGGCCAACCCCCCTTTTTTCACAATTTTTTTTCAAATTTTGAGCTCTAGTTTCAGATTTTTGAACATAGCGCCCTTCGATACCTTGCGCAAAAGATGCGCCTGTTTCTCCTCTACAAGACCTATACAGTTATTCCCCGTGACACTATTCATTATTTTTTCTCTAGAAGCCATGGAATAGGCCAACCCCCCTGTTTTTAACAATTTTTTTTCAAATTTTGAGCTCTAGTTTCAGATTTTTGAACATAGCGCCCTTCGATACCTTGCGCAAAAGATGCGCCTGTTTCTCCTCTACAAGACATATATAGTCATACCCCGTGACACCCCTCATTTTTTTTCTCTAGAAGCCATGGAATAGGCCAACCCCTCTGTTTTTAACATTTTTTTTTCAAATTTTGAGCTCTAGTTTCAGATTTTTGAACATAGCGCCCTACGATACCTTGCGCAAAAGATGTGCCTGTTTATCCTCTACAAGACCTATATAGTCATATCCCGTGACACCCCTCATTATTTTCTCTAGAAGCCATGGAATAGGCCAACTCCCCTGTTTTTAACAATTGTTTTTAAATTTTGAGCTCTAGTTTCAGATTTTTGAACATAGCTCCCTTCGATACCTTGCGCAAAAGATGCGCCTGTTTCTCCTCTACAAGACCTTTATAGTCATACCCCGTGACACTCCTCATTATTTTTCTCTAGAAGCCATGGAATAGGGCAACCTCCCTGTTTTTAACAAATTTTTTCCATATTTTGAGCTCTAGTTTCAGATTTTTGAACATAGCGCCCTTCGATACCTTGCGCAAAGGATGCGCCTGTTTCTCCTCTACAAGACCAATATAGTCATACCTCGTGACACCCCTCATTATTTTCTCTAGAAGCCATGGAATAGGCCAACCCCCCTGTTTTTAACAATTTTTTTTCAAATTATGAGCTCTAGTTTCAGATTTTTGAACATAGCGCACTTCGATACCTTGCGCAAAAGATGCGCCTGTTTCTCCTCTACAAGACCTATATAGTCATACCCCGTGACACCCCTCATTATTTTTCTCTAGAAGCCATGGAATAGGCCAATCCTTCTGTTTTTAACAATTTTTTTTTTAATTTTGAGCTCTAGTTTCAGATTTTTGAACATAGCCCCTTCGATACCTTGCGCAAAACATGCGCCTGTTTCTCCTCTACAAGACCTATATAGTCATACCCAGTGACTACCGTCATTATTTTTCTCTAGAAGCCATTGAATAGGCCAACCCCCCCTGTATTAACAATTTTTTTTCAAATTTTGAGCTCTAGTTTTAGATATTTGAACATAGTGCCCTTCGATACCTTGCGCAAAAGATGCGCCTTTTTCTCCTCTACAAGACCTATATAGGCATACCCCGTGACACCCCTCATTATTTTTCTCTAGAAGCCATGGAATAGGCCAAACCCCCTTTTTTAACAATTTTTTTTCAAATTTTGAGCTCTAGTTTCAGATTTTTGAACATAACGCCCTTCGATACCTTGCGCAAAAGATGCGCCTGTTTCTCCTCTACAAGACCTATACAGTCATACCCCGTGACACTATTCATTATTTTTCTCTAGAAGCCATGGAATAGGCCAACCCCTCTGTTTTTAACAATTTTTTTTCAAATTTTAAGCTCTAGTTTCAGATTTTTGAACATAGCGCCCTTCGATACCTTGCGCAAAAGATGCGCCTGTTTCTCCTCTACAAGACCTATATAGTCATACCCAGTGACTACCGTCATTATTTTTCTCTAGAAGCCATTGAATAGGCCAACCCCCCCTGTATTAACAATTTTTTTTCAAATTTTGAGCTCTAGTTTTAGATATTTGAACATAGTGCCCTTCGATACCTTGCGCAAAAGATGCGCCTTTTTCTCCTCTACAAGACCTATATAGGCATACCCCGTGACACCCCTCATTATTTTTCTCTAGAAGCCATGGAATAGGCCAAACCCCCTTTTTTAACAATTTTTTTTCAAATTTTGAGCTCTAGTTTCAGATTTTTGAACATAACGCCCTTCGATACCTTGCGCAAAAGATGCGCCTGTTTCTCCTCTACAAGACCTATACAGTCATACCCCGTGACACTATTCATTATTTTTCTCTAGAAGCCATGGAATAGGCCAACCCCTCTGTTTTTAACAATTTTTTTTCAAATTTTAAGCTCTAGTTTCAGATTTTTGAACATAGCGCCCTTCGATACCTTGCGCAAAAGATGCGCCTGTTTCTCCTCTACAAGACATATATAGTCATACCCCGTGACACCCCTCATTATCTTTCTCTAGAAGCCATGGAATAGGCCAACCCCTCTGTTTTTAACAATTTTTTTTCAAATTTTGCGCTCTAGTTTCAGATTTTTGAACATAGCGCCCTTCGATACCTTGCGCAAAATATGCGCCTGTTTCTCTTCTACAAGACCTATATAGTCATACCCCGTGACACCCCTCATTATTTTCTCTAGAAGCCATGGAATAGGCCAACCCCCCTGTTTTTAACAATTGTTTTTAAATTTTGAGCTCTAGTTTCAGATTTTTGAACATAGCTCCCTTCGATACCTTGCGCAAAAGATGCGCCTGTTTCTCCTCTACAAGACCTATATAGTCATACCCCATGACACTCCTCATTATTTTTCTCTAGAAGCCATGGAATAGGGCAACCTCCCTGTTTTTAACAATTTTTTTTCATATTTTGAGCTCTAGTTTCAGATTTTTGAACATAGCGCCCTTCGATACCTTGCGCAAAAGATGCGCCTGTTTCTCTTCTACAAGACCTTTATAGTCATACCCCGTGACACCCCTCATTATTTTTCTCTAGAAGCCATGGAATAGGCCAACCCCCTATTTTTACAATTTTTTTCAAATTTTGAGCTCTAGTTTCAGATTTTTGAACATAGCGCCCTTCGATGCCTCGCGCAAAAGATGCGCCTGTTTCTCCTCTACAAGACATATATAGTCATACCCCGTGACACTAATTTAATAATTTTTCACTAGAAGCCATGGAATAGGCCAACCCCCCTGTTTTTAACAATTTTTTTCAAATTTTGAACTCTAGTTTCAGATTTTTTAACATAGCGCCCTTCGATACCTTGCGCAAAAGATGCGCCTATTTCTTCTCTACAGGACCTATATAATCATAACCCGTGACACCCCTTAATATTTTCTCTAGAAGCCATGGAATAGGCCAACCCCCCTGTTTTTAACAATTTTTTTTCAAATTTTGAGCTCTAGTTTCAGATTTTTTAACATAGCGCCATACAATACCTTGCGCAAAAGATGCGCCTATTTCTCCTCTACAGGACCTATATAATCATACCCCGTGACACCCCTTAATATTTTCTCTAGAAGCCATGGAATAGGCCAACCCCCCTGTTTTTAACAATTTTTTTTTAAATTTTGAGCTCTAGTTTCGGATTTTTGAACATAGCGCCCTTCGATACCTTGCGCAAAAGATGCGCCTGTTTCTCTTCTACAAGACCTATATAGTCATACCCCGTGACACTCATCATTATTTTTCTCTAGAAGCCATGGAATAGGCCAACCCCTCTGTTTTTAACAATTGTTTTTTAAATTTTGAGCTCTAGTTTCAGATTTTTGAACATAGCGCCCTTCGATACCTTGCGCAAAAGATGCGCCTGTTTCTCTTCTACAAGACCTTTATAGTGCTACCCCGTGACACCCCTCATTATTTTTGTCTAGAAGCCATGGAATAGGCCAACCCCCCCTGTTTTTACAATTTTTTTTCAAATTTTGAGCTCTAGTTTCAGATTTTTGAACATAGCGCCCTTCGATACCTTGTGCAAAAGATGCGCCTGTTTCTCCTCTACAGGTATAGGTATAGGACACAGCACTATGGAGGTCACTATTCATCCAATAATCTGAGCAAATTCTGGGAAAAATACTCCAATAACCTGAAGCGGGACAGACGGACCGACGGACGAACGGACGGACGAACGAACGAACGGACGCACAGACCGAAAAACATAATGCCCATAAATGGGGCATAAAAATTAAATATATAAAGATATTTTTGTCAGCCAATTTTTTTTTTTAACTTATGAAGTGAGAAGGAAATACTCCAAGGATTTGAGTTCATTTGCAGAATAACTTGCACAAGATTTGCGATAAAGGTCATTTATTCAGAAACCATAAAAACATAATACAACTGACTGTTACGAACAATTATGTAATAAACCAAAACTGAATAAATGACAATAATTTGCAAAGGTGGGGAACAAATACCGTCACAATCCCCAAGTCACAGAGTTGGGACACCGCCACCGGAGAAACCTTGGAGATAAATTTTATAAGAGATTAATTGATTTATATACTTGCTTGCTTGCTCAAGTCAAATGGCGATTATTTCATTTATATTTAGGACGACGTTAAAAAGAAAAAGAGAAAGAAAAAACAATAAATGTGTATAATATTACACCTTGCTCAATGTCAGGATGTAAAGCTTATAAGATTATAAACTAGAGGCTCCCAAGAGCCTGTGTCGCTCACCTGATTCTACTTTGGTTTTGAAAATCATGTAAAAATAGATTAAAATCATAACAGATACCCTAATAATGATTGAGGCCAAATTTGGTTTAATATTGGCCCCGTAATTTAATCAAAAAAAGGAAGACTTTTGTAAAGTTTACAGAAATTACCAATAAATTCATTGACATTGTAGAAAATGACTTTACAAGGACAATAACTCCAACAATATGTCAATTGACAATTTTGCTCTCATGTTGACTTATGTGTAGAACTTCTTTTCTTGATATTTTTGCAGTTTACAGTATACATTGTATCTCAATCTATAAAGATACATGTATTAAGGTATTCATCAGCACCTCATAAGGAACATTTATGCCATGTTTGATTTCATTCCATTCAGTGCTCCTCTTGGAGAAGACATTTGTATGTATTTCCCATACGATCTTATGTTAACTTAAGTCCCCTGCTTGCCGCCATCTTGGATGATGGTTCGGCTACAAAGTAATAACACTTGGTCAGTACCTCATTAGGAGCATTCATGCCATGTTTGGTTTCATTCTATTCAGTGGTTCTCTAAAAGAAGACATTTGTATGTATTTCCCATAGGGTCCTATGTTAAACTAAGTCCCGGCCCCTCTGGCGGCCATCTTGTATGATGGATCGGCTTCAAAGTAACAACACTTGATCAGCACCTCATAAGGAACATTCTTGTTATGCTTGGTTTAATTCCATTTAGTGTTTCTCTAAAAGAAGACATTTGTATGTATTGTCCATAGGTTCCTATGTTAAACTAAGTCCCGGCCCCTCTGGTGGCCATCTTGTATGATGGATCGGCTTCAAAGTAACAACACTTGGTCAGCACCTCATAAGGAACATTCTTGTTATGTTTGGTTTAATTCCATTTATTGTTTCTCTAAAAGAAGACATTTGTATGTATCGTCCATAGGTTCCTATGTTAAACGAAGTCCTCCGCTGGCGGTCATCTTGGATGATGGATCGGCTTCAAAGTAACAACACTTGGTCAGCACCTCATAAGGAACATTCTTGCCATGTTTGGTTTAATTCCATTCACTAAAAAAAGACATTTGTATGTATTGTCCAAAGGTTCCTATTTTAAACGAAGCCCCCCGCTGGCGGCCATCTTGGATGATGGATCGGCTTCAAAGTAACAACACTTGGTCAGTACCTCATAAGGAACATTCATGCCATGTTTGGTTTCATTTCATTTTGTGGTTCTCTAAAAGAAGACATTTGTATGTATTATCCGTAGGTTCCTTATTAAACGAAGTCCAAAGCTGGCGGCCATCTTGGATGATGGATCAGCTACAAAGTAACAACACTTGGTCAACACCTCATAAGGAACATTCATGCCATGTTTGGTTTCATTCCATTCAGTGGTTCTCTAGAAGAAGTTCAAAATGTAAAAAGATAACGACGACGACGACGACGGACGCCAAGTGATGAGAAAAGCTCACTTGGCCCTTCGGGCCAGGTGAGCTAAAAAGCAGAGCAAGCCCTGTTGACCTCTATTTTTTTATGGTTGACAAGTATACATGCCAGTGTAAGGCAAACTCGTTTGATCCTTACACTTCCATAGCATAATGTATAAGATTTACAACTTTAACAACTTCTTATAGATTCAACCTATAAGAGGCTATTACCTATATTGAGATAAACAAAAATACCTTGATGTCATGTATTTGTGTAAGGTACGCAGAGTGTAAAACAAACACATTAATTGAAGACAAAATACATATGCATACATGTTTATACGTACAGATAGAAAATATTATGCAAAACTGATGTAAAGAATAAAACAACAATTTGTAACTTTCCAAAACAAATTAATAGAGGGATAGAGCAAGCCCCGTTGACCTCTATCCATAGTCACATAAAAGAGGGATTTGTTTTAAACGAATATAATCATGTCATAAAACGTAACGTAACTACTAAAATTTAGAGCAAGCCCTGTTGACCTCTATTAAGAAAAATACTTTTCGGCCAAGCAAGCCCTGTTGACCTCTACTAAGAAAAATGCTTTTCGGCAAAGCAAGCCCTGTTGACCTCTGCTTTAGACATATATAAAAGTGTACTTTCTTATGTAATTTTGTAATGCGTTTTGTAATGAGAACATTCTTTTGGCTGATTTACTTGTTGCAGCACCTATTTGAAACTTTGACTCGTGTAACACTCTAGGCTAAAGGCTTTGGAAATAAAAGGGCCTTCCACTAGGACATAAAGGAAGCGCATGTCACTGATGTACCACACGTGCATTGAAAAGGGGGACTAACACAAAAATTATATAAATTCTGCCTTTCTACTTTCACAGTTAAAACCATGCATCTTGGACTACAAAAATAAATGTAGCTCAATGACAGTTTGAACATTTTGATATGAGACTGGCGTTTATTCAGGTGGTGTCCAAAAATAACGTAGTCCTCTTAAATAAAAGATTGAGTTGTGAATCAAGCAAAAAGATCCGCTTTCCCCTTCTTCTTTTTTTCTGTATATGACTTATGAGTGACCAGCTCAGGATTTTCCCTTGCACATTTATTGTTGTGGGGAATTTTTTGTTAATCTTCTTTAACAAGTAATAGAATAATTTTAAATTTAAGCCCATGAATTAATTTGATTTTGACACCTGTTATAGTCCAGGGCGGAAGAAGTTGTTTAACTTATTATTTTTGTGAATTGCATGCCACTTTTTACTTTTACATGTGGCTTATAATTGATCAAGGTGTTATTGTTGTTGGTAAGATTGAAATTATTATAAAAAACAGTCTGCAAAGGATAATTATTTACAACTACCCAATCAAACTACATCACTCCGAGTATCTCACGAAATATTCATCATATGATTTTGCCATATTGAACCAAATTGTTTCGCCAATAGCCTAATACTGTATGCATATTTAAATAATTTTTAAATGTATTCGGGATATTATACATTATATAAAGACATGAAAATATCATAAGTTGAGGTATACTGATGGATCGACATTATCTATTTCTGATTTGCATTGTTAAAAAGTTTAACAGCTCTTGATTTGAATAGTTCACTATCATCTTTATCTTCACTGAAATTTGGAGAAAGGGTAACAAAGTCTACAAAGTTATCAACACAGATGCCTTTTCTTATTTTTTCATTCACATTAAATCCGAGTGGCAAA